ATGACAGCGACTTCCCTCCGAGGAGCGAGTTGAGAAAGAGAGGTCATGTATTATTGCTACACAAATATTATCTCGCAATCTTAGTGTCGCCAACTCGTTTCTAACATGCAAAAAGACAAACAAATGTCGGTGTATTTTCGATCTTTCCAATCGAGACGAGATCTCTCTCCCCCGTCTGTGCGCGAGGGGGCGGGGCAGTTTACACACACGCGGCTGCTACAAGCAGCAACACACGGAGGAGATGGCGGAGAGAAACCTCCAAGGTGTGGTTAAATGTTACCCGTCTTGAGGTGGACAATGCTCCTTGCCAAGAGTGTTTAGCATGTAAGGGCGGTAACACGAGCAATGTGTCTAAACATTTAGCAAAAGTGCTCCACATCCAGACGGAGGAATGCACCGGGTTCGACTGTCTTTCTAGCAGCTCTGCAGCCCCATCCACGAGTAACGTTTCCACGTCAGGTGTTATGTATGCTAGCAGCAACACAGGAGTTAACTCCATGATACAAACATGGGTTAATGATTAGAGGAAACTGAGTTACTCTTTATTTTGTTAAAGTTTCAGCTATTCTGTTTACAGTTCTGTCATCAGATTATTTAATACGATTTGTTAAAACATTGTTGTTTCTTTTGATGTGAAATATTATTTATTTTATCTAAATAAAAAGCAATGTTAGTTCTGTTCACAATTTGTTAAGTTAATTTAATAATATATGTATTTTTGAATCAAGTATTCATCTTGATTGTCTTCATTGTTAGTTTCCACATGCCTAAAACAACCTCAAGCTACATCTAAAAGTTGATGGCTAAACAAGAGGGTTTGAGAAATTGTGCAAGGCATACAGTAATAGTCCGAATAGTCGATTAGTCGTTTCATTAATCGATAGATTAATCGATTATCAAATTAGTCGTTTGTTGCAGCCCTATTATCCCATGTATAAATAAAACGTGTTATTCAGCAACCCTTGCAATTTGGGATTTTATTTTTGGTTGGTAGACCTCGGTGAGCTGGTCATTTCAAAAGTAGCTCACCAGCCCAAAAAGTGTGGGCACCCCTGGTCTACAGCTTGCAAATGCTGGACAAAATGAATCAAAAGATGTGGTGAGAAAATTTGAGTTTCATTTATTGAAACAGTGCAAACTGTAGTTTACAAGCCTTTGAAACGTAAGTACATAAAGTGCAGTATCACAATGGAGAATTAAAAGGTGCAGCAGGTGGCGGAACATGGGGGATTTGAATGGGACTTGTTAGAAATTAAAATCAATGTTTTGATGGCATAAAGTACCTTAAACATACCGTCAGTTTAAATGCTGTTTTATACTGAAAAACCAGAAGTTCTTGTGCACAACCAGTTGTTAAGCTTTTATTCTGAAAATCCTTCATCTCCGGTTAGCATTTAGCATGTGGCTTATATACCATTTACTATAGAGGTGAATTTAGTAGCGATATGACACGGAGTGTTGCACACCGAAACCTACTGATTTCAACACTACAACTATAGACATCAAGATATTATTATTGCTGAATATTAAATGAAGGTACAGTTTATTTGAATACGTTTGTTTACAGACGTGGGTAGCATGAGACAATATCCGGAACTACCGGAAATGATACCAGCCGTGAGGTATTTTTGGAGTATTGATTACAGCGTTTAAAATGTATTAAATGAAAAGTCATGAAAGAGATAAGGAGGAGAAAAGGCGTGTTTAGTTATATATTTAATGTACAATGTCTGAATCCTCTGTAATAAATCAAATAAATTAATTTAATTTATATAGCGCTTCTCATCTGCCAAGACAAATCTCGAAGTGCTTCACAACAAGGGATACTGATACACTTTGAGAGATTAAACAAATAATTGTAATAATAATAAGAAATCAAAAAAATTAAAAATAAAATAGAGTACAAAAGTAAAAGTCGGAGATAGCGATAAAAATGCGCAACAACGAACATTGGAGACGTGGAGGGCCGGCCCCCAGCAGCGCCAACCGGCCCACAGGGAGGAGCCAGCAGAGGATATTTAACAGCTGGAAAGGTGGAGCTCGCTCTCTTCCCTTCGCTCACGAGAGCCAGAACACAGCTGTTTTTCTGACTGAACCATCTTCTGCTTGTAACATTACCGTGCTTTTTATTAATTAAAGTATACATTTGAACCTTCTCAGAGACTCAATTAGTCTCCTTTTTAAAGCTTCTCTCCTGGACGCGAGAATAACGAACACAGACTTAATGTATCGATACCCGCAGCTGAAATATCGATACTTTCTCGGAAAACTAAATATCGATATATATCGCAGGATCGATTAAATTGCACAGCCCTAGTTGAGATGGAGGTTGTTATCCTGGCACCAAGATGTCAGGTTTTCGACCTCCTCTCTGTACGCCGTCTCGTCACCGTCGGTGATCTGGCCGATGACGGTTGTGTCGTCAGCAAACTCCACAATGGTGTTGGAGCTGTGTGTGGCCATGCAGTCGTGTGTGAACAGGGAATAGAGGAGAGGGCTGAGCACGCAGCCTTGAGGCGCTCCGGTGTTGAGGGTCAGGGTGGAGGATGTGATGTTTCCCACCCGCACTGCCTGGGTCTGCCCGTCAGGAAGTTCAATATCCAGTCACAGAGGGCGATGTTGAGCCCGAGGTCTCTGAGCTTGATGACCAGCTTGGAGGGCACAATGGTATTGAAAGCTGAACTGTAATCAATGAACAGCATTCTCACATATGTGTTCCTCTGGTCCAGGTGTGAGAGGGCAGTGTGGAGGGTGAGGGCTAAGGCGTCGTCTGTGGACCTGTTTGCTCTGTAGGCAGACTGCAGGGGGTCCAGAGAGTCAGGGAGGCAGGAGGTGATGAATGTTTTGACTAACCGCTCAAAGCACTTCATGGTGATGGAGGTGAGTGCTAGTGGTAGTCGTTGAGGCTGGTGATTTTTGTCTTTTTGGGGACAGGAACGATGGTGGAGTGTACAGGTAGCAGTAAGCTATACTCGGACAAAATACGTCTCAGGAAAGTTTGTTTGACTCTTTACTAAAACAAAAGGTATCACATACAAACACATATTTTCACAGGTCAAAACACTATGTTGCTCTGTGCTTCTTTCTCCTTCTCACACACAATCACCAGCAGCTGCCGTCGGCTATAACGTCTCGTATTCACAAAACAGCTGCGGTCGTCTATGCCGTCAATTCCACACGGCTGATTCAAATAAATGATATAATAACACTATCAACAAAGGATTATAATATACAAATATATCAAACTATACATTTTAACATATGGCTCCTACAAAGACGTTAAGAGAAAAAGTTATATTTTCATGTCCCTTTGTGATAGATGCATTATTATCATTTTGATTGACAAGACATCCTGAAGTAAAGGTTGTTGTCATTTGACTTCTATCTCATTTTTCATTTCCTAGAGGACAACATGTAACACTTGGCTCATCTTGCCCGTATCCCCTACCTCAGCTTATTTTTTCCGCACTGTGAACTATCTGCTGTCGGGACGTTCCGTCTGTTTGGAGTCCTGCCTTTAACCATCTGCTCATTTTCAACAGACCATTAGGAGAAAGCATTCTGAGAGCACTGTGACATTGGTTTTATTTCATACTGCACACTTTATGACTGCAATAGTATTACCTGACTGGAGGTCACATTTCCAATGTACAATAGCAGCTGGAGATCCGAGCTGCAGAGCCATAAAGACATGGAGGAACCACGTCATCAGCCTGAAAAGCTGTTAGTTGAATAGGTTTTGAAAGTCTTACCATTGGTGTAGTTAAAATGTGAACTTTTAGATTTGGCAGGCATTCATGGCACATCTCAACACAAGCCACTGTCCTGAATGAATCATAAATGCTGCTATCAAAATGTCAGGGTGTCTGTGCTATTTGTAAATCTGCTCAAAGGAAACACAGTGCGTCCACTTTCCCCTCTCTCTCTTCTGGTAAACCTTCTCAGATATAATAACTGAGTGTTTGAGAGGAGAGTGTCTCTGCTGCCATTCAGCAAATGGAAGTCTGTTTGAATTGTTGATGATACAGACATCCACAAGCTTGTCCCCTGGATACATTTATGGAAAGTAGGACAGTGGTGGGCCCGATCACTAATCCTGAGTCTTCCCCTTCTCTCTCTGTCTCTCACAGGCCAGCCCTGCCCCGATCATCGTCAACACAGACACTTTGGAGTCTGCTCCTTACGTGAGTTTCAATCTCTCTGTCTTTTTTTAATGCACCTATTACTGTTTTTCAGTAGGTCTATGAATACTTCCAGTAGATTGAGGCACACTGGAGAAGTAGTACATTCAAATAACATCTATTACTGTGTTTGAGTTGAGACAGTAACTCCTCAAAGTAACAAATTAGGGTTCAGTGCTGAATTATTGATATTTGTCATGAAAATGACCAGCACAATACTTTCTCAAGACCTTTACCCCTCACATGTTGTGAGTGTTACACACAAATAAATACATCATTCAGAATCAGAATTGAAGGTAAAGTGCAGCACAGAAGCTTGACCGAGAACAAATTGGGATTCAAGATTTTATGTTGTTGTCATGATAAAATAGTCACAGTCTGCAATAATAATACATTTATTTTGTTAGCGCTTTTACAGGTGCTCAAAGTTGCTTTACAGAGATAGTGAAAAGAAAAGAACAACAAATAAATATAGTTAAAGTAAACTAATATGTTAAAGGTAAAGATGAAGAAAGATAAGGTAGAGAAGATGGGTAAAGATGAAGAAAGATAAGGTAGATGAAGGTAGAGAAGATGGGTAAAGATGAAGAAAGATAAGGTAGATGAAGGTAGAGAAGATGGGTAAAGATGAAGAAAGATAAGGTAGATGAAGGTAGAGAAGATGGGTAAAGATGAAGAAAGATAAGATAGATGAAGGTAGAGAAGATGGGTAAAGATGAAGAAAGGAGAACAGGAGCATCTGCCTCAGACTGTCTTTCTTTCTTTTGATGCATAATGACGGGGTGGAAAGCTACTAATGAATCACCTCAGTGAGATTCACCATGAGATCTAGCTAGTCTCCACGTTGCAGAAAAGCCTGATGTTGATTACCAGCACATTAAATGGTTCCCCTTGAAGTAGCCCCTCTGAGCCCAGTAAGTACCAGCGGCCCTGGAAAACACTATTTTCCACTAAAGTATGCAAAGTTGGCCTTTATGATTTTCACATATTTTATATCATCCTGTATTTATTAAGCATCACTGGCATGTATTTTAATATTAAAGTCATATTTGAATGTCTTGTATTGTTTTCTGTTCCTTAGGTCAATGGAACAGAAATTGAATATGAATTTGAGGAAATCACTCTAGAGCGGGTGAGTGTCTTACAGTATCTAGTGCTCTCCAACAGGCATCAAAATAAAATGCATAGTGTGGTTAATAAGAGGGGATTTGAACAATGTATGTATTCATGCATTATGGGATTAGAAAGCATATAATACCAGCAACCCGGTATCACGGCAAGACGTGAACATGTGACGATTTACCATGCTGGGAGACGTGAAGATGTCACGATTTCGTCCCTTCAAACGTGACAGTTACACGGTATTGTTAACCCAGTGGAGAAATACCCGGAAATGCCAAGCAAATGCTACCCCGACGGTCGGTTGTTATTGTCAATAATATTAATATAATATTGATTTATTTTGTAATAGTCATAGGCAAGATCCTCAGCTCGATGATTGGATGGTTTAGCTGCAATGCACACTGGGATTTGGTGTTTATGTGATGTGAAATCTGAAAACATTTTTTAAAAATAAAATAATACTTTATTCCGAGTGTGCTTGCTTTTCTCTTTGAAAGTCATCACATAACGGCATTGTAATACACGGTTCGGCTGCATTAAATATTACATATCTGCCGTAGTTCTCTATTTATAGAGCCCTGATGAGAAGACTTCTAGACAAACATGAGGAACTGAAAACGTGACGTGGATCATAAATATATCAGCAATTTCTTTTCACACAATACGTCTCCTTGCAGTATCAACACTAATTCGGCTGACTTTTATATTTGATCCAATTGGTAGATAGGCTGTATTTACACCATAAAGGTGCACAGCTGATAGAAAGGGACACCTAGTGGTTAAAGCACGTTATTGAATTTCATTATTTGTATTATTAGATATTAATAGGATCCCTATATAGTATATTCATTACTCGTTATTCTCTACTAATAGTTAATTAAGTGATATTGATATACTTTATTAATCCCCGTGGGGAAATTGTTTCTCTGCATTTGACCCATCCTAGGAGCAGTGTGCTGCCATTTTGAACGGCACCCGGGGAGCAGTGTAGGGAATGGTGCCTTGCTCAGGGACACCTCGGTAGCACTTGGTCTTGCTGGGACTTGAACTGGTGACCTTCCAGTTGCCAAGCCAAGTCCCTATCGACTTCGCCACCACCGCCCCTAAAGACTGTATATAATGGCTATTTTGCACATCCCTTTCAAGATTTCAAGATTTTCATCCCTCCATATTCTTCTTCTATACCCCCAAAGCTTTTTTCTTATTCAAAAGAAGACCTTAACCTAAAGTATTCTTTAATGTTTAAATTAAGCCTTATTAGTTTGTCTGTTTTGCACATCCTCCTATTAATATCTAATAATACAAATAATACAAATCAATAACGTGCTTTAACCACCAGGTGTCCCTTTCTATCAGCTGTGCACGGTTATGGTTTAAATACAGCCTATCTACCAATTGGATCAAATATAAAAGTCAGCCGAATTAGTGTTGATACTGCAAGGAGACGCATTGTGTGAAAAGAAATGTAAGATGTTGTTTAATTGCTGATATATTTATGATCCACGTCACGTGTTCAGTTTTGGGGCAGTTCTTTCTGTTTGTCTAGAAGTCTTCTCATCAGGGCTCTATAAATAGAGAACTACGGCAGATATGTAATATTTAATGCAGCCGAACCGTGTATTACAATGCCGTTATGTGATGACTTTCAAAGAGTAAAGCAAGCACACTCGGAATAAAGTATTATTTTATTTTTAAAAAATGTTTTCAGATTTCACATCACATAAACACCAAATCCCAGCATGCATTACGGATAACCATCCAATCATCGAGCTGAGGATCTTGCCTACATCCGTTTCCGGTTTCGTTTATGACGGGTGTATTTTGTTATACACACATTCCTTCACATTTAAATGTACATTAAAGTATGTTGTGAGGCCTTCTAACATGTTTTTAAATATAACTACGGTTTTAGTTAAAGAGTTTGTAAATTAACATGAACCGAAGCTGTTGCCTGGCAATGCAATCACACAACGTCACGTCCGTTAATTCCACATCCACAGGCATGGATTAACATCCATTTAATACATTAATTTAGCCTTTGTTTCTGCTAAAAGAGGTGTCGACCAGCTGGGGCAACAAGAAAATCGGCGTAATCGAGTGTGACTATTACAAAATAAATCATTATTATATTAATATTGACAATAACAACCGACCCTCGGGGTAGCATTTGCTTTGCATTTCCGGGTATTTCTCCACTGGTTAACATGGGTTAACAATACCGTGTAACTGTCACGTTTAAAGGGACGAAATTGTGACATCTTCACGTCTCCCAGCATGGTGAATCGTCACATGTTCACGTCTTGCCGTGATACCGGGTTGAATACCAGATACACACAGCTACTGACCTGAAATAGCTTTTTTGGTAAACATCATGAATTCATTTCTAAGATCATGACATCGTTTTAACATGGCTTACAAGCCTATGTCTGGTCCTCTCAAGTGGTGAGCACAACAACATTTTTAATTCAGTGTTTGAGGCAGCACGGCCACAGGATTCGATCTGTATAGCCAACAAACTGCAGCCCCTACTCTGAAAGACCGGGTGTGATCCTGCTGACAAATAAATATAATATTTGATAGTAATAGCCAGGTTAACTTAGGAGAAAGGGCAGAATGTTGTAATGGTAATCTGAACACTTTGTAATCATACTGAGAGTATACTGAGATGTGTCAAAGTGTCATGGACTTTAAAGACATTTGACTGATTTCCAACAGAAATGAAAGTCAACACTTAGGTCTATAAAGTTAATACCTTGAAGGCAATAAGGATGCTTGCAAGGTTATTTTTCACACAGTGCCATCAAATAGTGCACAACATGTCTTTCATCTGTGGGTCAGTGATTCTCTATGGTACTCGTTCACCAGGGGGTAAATATCAAGTTGCCAAGGCATATGTGGAAGGATTGTGGAGGAGCTCAGCGGATCTGAAAAAATACAAATGAATGAATTCAAAACTAGAAACAAAATGCATCAAAATATTAGTGTCGAGGGAGAAAGTTAACACAAAAGATAGAAAAATTGGTGTTGTGCTGATATCTAGGATGTATTTATTTTCAACAGCCAGTAAACTAACAGCTAAAGTAAGCTTTTTATTATTTATATATTTTATATTATTTTCACATATTGTAAAATTGGCTCAAATGAAACACTTAACATGACGGCTGTCCTACACAAAAGCTTGGGAACCACTGCTATATAAAAACATCGAAGTAAAGATTGCATAGCTAATGCAAACCATGTCCAGACACTTGCATCAGCACTCACATAGTGTTAAGGATGTTTCTCTAGTGACATTAGAACAGCAGCAGAGTCATGTGTTCAGGCCCTCTCTCTGTGCTCACTGATGCTCTCTCTCCATGGCGTAGGGTAACTCTGGGTTGGGCTTCAGCATTGCCGGAGGGACAGATAACCCCCACATCGGCGACGACCCCGGCATCTTCATCACTAAGATCATCCCGGGGGGAGCTGCAGCAGAGGATGGACGCCTCAGGTCAGTCATCTTCCACACAGCTTTTTAATAAGGGATACCCAAAGAAATGTCTGGAGCCGAACAGGAAAAGAAAGCACTGCAGAAACTTGTAACAGGATGACTTAGAGATCATCTCTCAGCACTGTGGACTGGATATATCACTGTGTACTAGGGGTGTAACGGTTCACAGAAGTCACGGTTCTGTTCGTACCTCGGTTTGGGGGTCACGGTTCGGTACGGCTGCGGTACAACAAGGAAAAGCAAAAAAAAGTCCCAAATGCATAATTCCAGGTTTGTTATTTATTTTGAACAGTAGTGCAAGTTTCAGTTTAAAAATAAGAAACTCTGACATTTTGAATAATTAACTGTATTACACAGTTAAAAACAAACCACAAACAGTACCACACACACTCAGATGCATGGCCATATTATCTATAATGGCTGATGTCAAACAAAAAGGTTTCATCAAGCTGTAAAACTAAAAAGAATGTCTTGAAAATATTACATCATAAATAATAAGAAAGTGTTTCAAGAGCGCATAGCCGTTGAAATATATATGCCAAAAGCTTCCGTTATTTATTTTGGTCACTCGGCTTTCATGTATATTGGCTTCTTAAAAACAGCGGGGATCAGCTGCTGAACTGCTGTTGTCTTTTGCCGGGCTCCGGTGATTGGCAAATCTGGGTGATGCCTTCTGGCATGATTTAGCATGTTCGGAGTGTGTTACCATTAGCATACCGCACCGCTGTCTAACAACGGCGAAACACCGTCCTCGTCCGATCCACCACTCGCACACTTCATCGTTATTGTAGTCCACAGGGAACCCGAAATGTTCCCACACAGCTGATTTAAAAGAAGCAGGTGGGTTCTAGCTAGGGCTGGGCGATAAATCGATTTTATCGATTAACTCGAGTGTGTAGTTCACGTCGACTTGTTTAAATGAAAATCGGTTTTCTCTTCAACATCCGCCAACTTTTCCCTCTGGGCTCCCGTAGTTCGCCTCAGTCCTCCCCCCGCACAGTGCGCGCATTTACCAAATAGAGTGATACACATTACACAAACAACATGACAACGAGCAGGTAAGAACTTGTTCCAAAGAAAGGCACGGTGTCATCCGTTATTTGGAATTGGTTTGCGTTCGCGAGGTCAGATTTAGACCAGACAACACCCCGCTGCAAAGTGTGTTTGAAGTCTGTTGCTAGCAAAGGCAGCAGTACGACAAATTTACTGCAGCACCTCAAACAAAAGCATCCTGCTGAATGGGAGAAATGTTCCGCGCAGCGGAATGAAAAAGACCGCGGCACTACAAGCACCTCACGCACAGCCGCCAAAATACAGTCTACCGTAACACAGACATTTTCAAACTGCATCCGATATGACAATAATTCGGCCCGCTGGAAAGCCATTACAGATGCGGTCGGTATGTATATAGCAAAGGATATGGTGCCAATATATCCTCCTGGGACCCAGCCCATTGAAAATGTCCACTGTAGTGGACATTTTGTTAACATGCATCTCATTTTACTCTTTTGAGCTACTCTATCAATCCCTGATGTGCTGTACAGAAGACATCCTGGTCTTTCCAGTGATATGTCATTGGTTAAAATTGGAACAATTACTTTGTCATCTGCATATGAATTGGGGGGGGGGGGGGAGAAAATCGATTTAAATCGTAAATCGGATTTTTTTTTTAAAAATCGGGGATTTCTTTTTTTGGCCATATCGCCCAGCCCTAGTTCTAGCTCCTGTGTGTTATCTGAAATCGCCAAACTAATTTATTTCTTCTTGTATTTTGTTCGTTTTGTTGTTGTGTTTCTTCTTGTTCTTCATTTGTTGTTTAAGAGCGGCTGGCAAACAGCTTTTAGGCGCAATACCACCCCCTGGATTATAAATAGTGTAATGGATACTGCCCTGAATGACAGACTTTTTTCCCACTCGTAAAAAAAAAGGCGTATTCGTCGTGTGACTGCATGTGCCGAACCGTGACGGTACGGGACGAAGACGGATACCGTTACACCCCTACTGCGTTCCCTGCCCCTACTACTCCTTCACCACTGGATCATCTGTAAACATATCTGAGATATTAGACAGCAGTATCTTGTTTTGGTTGGTGTCCCAGGCATTTTGAAGTGTAATAATAATAATAATAATAACTTGAATTTATATAGCGCCTTTCATAACCTCAAGGTCGCTTTACAAAGAAACATACGAGGACATGACATAAAACATAAAAACATAAACATAAAACAGGGGGCAGAAATGGAAGTGTAAGTGGGGGGGGAGATTGAGTTATTGTTGGAAGACAATGTTGAACAGATGAGTTTTAAGGGTTGATTTGAAGATGTTGAGAGAAGGGGCGTTGGGGATTTCTGCAGGGAAGGAGTTCCAGAAAGTGGGGGCAGCGACACTGAAGGCACGGTCCCCGAAGGTGCGGAGGCGTGAATGGGGAATGGAGAGCAGGCCGGAGTCTGAGGATCGAAGGGTGCGGGATGGGATGTATGGGTGGAGGTACTGAGGGGAGAGGGCATGGAGGGACTTGTAGGTGACGAGGAGGAGTTTGTAGGTGATGCAGGACTTGACCGGGAGCCAGTGGAGGTTGAAGAGAGTGGGGGTGATGTGCTGCCAGGGCTTGGTGCGTGTGAGAACCCTGGCAGCTGAGTTCTGGATGTACTGGAGCCTGTTCAGGGTTTTGCTGGGAACCCCGGACAGGAGTCCTTTACAGTAGTCCAGGCGTGAGGTAATGAAACAACGTATCAGCTTCTCAGCAACAGAGTCGGACAGTGATGGCCGGAGTCTTGAAATATTTCTGAGGTGGAAGAAGGCTGATTTTGAAACGGATTTGATGTGGTTTTGAAATGAGAGGGTTGAATCCAAGACAACACCAAGGTTGCAGAGCTGAGGTGTAGAAGGGAGTAACACTTCATGTCCTGCAGAAACTCTGCTTTATTCATCTTGCTGATTCCTTTTGTTCATATGAATTCTGTGCACTCTTTAATTTTGGCTTTGTTTTTGTTTTGTTTGTCTACGCTCCCTACCAAATGTAAAGCATCTTTGGGTTCAAGAAAAGCGCTATAGAAATAAAATGTATTATTATTTAATATGGAATCAGATTTAAATTTATATAAGCAAACAAGAACTGTTAAATAATTTTAAAGAAATAGGAAGTTGATGGAGAGTAAAACTCAACTAAACAAAAAAGTCATTGCAAAAGTGAAACTTATAACTATACCATCAAATCATTTGTGTAATAAAATAAACGATTGGTCTTTAACTTTTATGATAAATGATAAATCAATACTTACACTTTATTGACCTCATAGGACTACAGTAAAAAATAAAGTGGGCAGTGAATGCCCCGTGCTGCGCCCCCCCCCCCCCTTCAGGCAGTGCATGCAAACCAACTGTGAGGGCAGGAGCTGATGGTGAGAGGGGATGTAAAAAGAAACACATACTAGCAAAGAGAGATTACTTTTCTTTGGTGAGTTGAACCATTTTTGCTCATAAGCATGTAAATGTTTAAATCAGAAATCACACAAAAATAACAGTTTAAATCTCAAGAGCAACAAAATATTGGCAATATTTCTTCCCAATTGAAACCCACAACAATAATTATTCACCACTCGGCAGCATCGGTGAGCAATGAACACATTCCACTTGGTGGCAAGGACACAACCTGAAGTGATTCTTCACTCCCCTGGTGTAAAAGGCTTTCAAAATCATTTACTCTCTGGGTTGGTATGAACCTGGAGAGCTGTAGAGGATAGACTACAGTTTGGCCCCACAGAACATTAGTCAGACCTTTTTCTGGAGAAGTGCGCAGGTATAAGTGCCAGTAGATGAAGGAGTGTGTTCACTCTGTGTCACGATGTTTATGTTATGTCACGGCTTTAGTTTTTGTATGTCTAGGTTTGGGTTATTTTGCTGTTCTATTCTCCCTGTTTCATGTTTTCCTCCTTGTTTCTTGTCTGGTCCTTCTCCCTGTGTTTTCCTCCCTGTCGTTAGTTTCCCTGGGGGGTATACTACGAAGCAGGATTTTCGTTTAGCAAGATAACTTTTTTCTCCACCTTGCATTTTCACAGTTGCGTGAAGTGCGCTGCTCGGCTGCGCACCGCGTCTCAGCGTCTCTGTCCGTCTTGTGTTTTGTTTGTTTTGAGCTAATTATTGTCTAAACGTTGTGTGTCTGTATGAAACATCATTTTGAGAGACCATGCTTTTGATCCTGTGGATTACATTTGCCTTCTGCAGACCATGTCTGGCCATTCAACTTTTCAAAACACACCTGAGCCACAACACGAACAGGTATGGCGAGGAGCCCCGGCCTCTACGCTGCTACAGCCGCGAGGCTATGCTGGAGCTACAATGCGATCGGCCTCCTACGAATACACCAAGCCATCTGTGCTCTTCGTTATTGGTTGACATCCCTCGGGAGCTGCTTAGACACATCAGGAAAAAGAGATGAGGAAGGAGGGGAGGCGTTCGGAATCGCCTACGGTGGAGATTCAGCCGGCCACCACTTCCATCCATCATTCTCACAAACCTGCGCTCATTGAGCAACAAAGTGGACACTAAGGATATACACAAGGTACTGTCATGAATTTCGTGAGGCCTCTTTACTATGTTTCACGGAAAGTTGGCTACAATCTACGATGCCTGAATCTCTCTTTGAAGTACCCGGATTCACCCTTGTTCGAGCAGACAGGGATGCGAACTCGGGGAAACCAGAGGATGCGGGTATATGTGTGTATATTAATGACCTGTGGTGCCGATCATACTCTGTCAAATGTAAAACCTGTGATCCCAACGTGGAAATTCTCGGCATGACGTTAAGACCCTTTTATCTGCCTAGAGAATTCGGTGTATTTTACTGTTTGTTGGTTACGTGCCTCCCAGCGGCAGCAGAAGAGCGTCACTGGCGGCCGGCTCCATCGCTGACTGTGTTCACGAGCTGCAACTCAGCCACCCCGATGCACCGGCAATAGTGCTCGGGGACATGAACCAATGTCGCCTAGAGACTGTGTTAC